AAGATTAAAACAAAAAATTAAATCTACAAGGCTTTGTTAAAAATTATAATAAGAATAATAAGAATAAAAAAAGATAGATAAGATTAATAAGATTAAAACAAAAAATAAAATCTACAAGGCTTTGTTAAAAATTATAATAATAATAATAATAATAATAAAGATGGATAAAATAAGATTAATAAGATTAAAACAAAAAATAAAATCTACAAGGCTTTGTTAAAAATAATAATAACTATAATAATAATAATAATAATAATAAGAAGAAGAAGAAGAAGAAGAAGAAAGATAGATAAGATTAGATTAATAAGATTAAAGCAAAAAAATAAAACAAATACAGCAAGGCAAAAACCAAAAATAAATAAATGCAAGATTACAAATCAAGGCATCCTCTCTAATTGAGACTCCTCTACGCCCGACACTCCGCACAGCAGCCTCTATCAGCCCACGAATTCCTTCATATTCATCTGCCAGTAAACCTAAGGCATCGAAGGACTGAGGGTGTTACTCAAAAATCAACGTTTTAAAAAAAAATAAACAGACACATTAATGGAGGCAAAACTATAAAACAGCAGGTGTAGAGAAAAAAAAAGAATAAAGCATTTTAACTGAAGATATCTCAATTATGTGAGATTCATGCACAAGTTACATACTTAACATGAGAACTGTGTAGAAAGACAAGAAAGCTGCAGTAGGTAACGTTTATTTAATAAAAATTGCTTTTTGTCATACGGTGTTTGCTGAAACTTTACATGAGGCAGATAATCTGTGAAGAAATCCAGTTTCACCGGCTCCTTCAACAGTATTTGGAAGAACCCACCACGGCTGAATGAAGACAACCAATCAGAGACCATGAAGATAGTTGATTGTTGTGTTTCATTCCCAAATTGTCAAATACTGACACTTTGATACCTGGGAATGAGACTCAACAATCAGCTCTTTCTCATTTTTATAAGTGACCTACTGGACCTTTAATTTTACAACTTTACATTGATTGTGCTTTTAATATTATCAATACTACTACTACTACTACTACTACTACTAATAATAATAATAATAATAGTAACAATAATTATAATAATAACTTTTTATATACAGAACAATTCATGCATAAGATGCAACAAAAAGTGCTTGACATAGAAGCAAATAATCATGACATTTATTATTTAAAAGAAATATTGAATTAAACAACAGGATAAAATAGAATAAAAAACCACTGCAACACAAAGCAATGGTAAAAAGATCTTTGTCTCCATCTTCTCTCTATTTTAAACAGCAACACAGTTCCTGGTTGCTGCCAAACTGTCTGGATCTGCGATAGTATAAAGATCACACATTAGCCACACACAGATGTAGATGTTTTGATTAAAAAGCTTATAAAATTAAAAAGTACAAATGAGGTGTGTCTGTAAGCAGATCGGTGATGTGGTTATAAAATGCCTGTATGAGTGTGTGGGTAAAATAAAAGCACTGACAAAGAGCAAACATGTTAGTTGGCAGGCCAGGGGAAGAGGGTGAGATGATCTTGCAGGTCTGCTCATGTAGACTCCTGACTAGCCTATTCAGGTGTAGCTACTGAGTCACTGACAAGCTCTCAGCTTAACTCTCTGACATCCTGGGAGAAGAAGCCAACACACAAAGACACATCAGGAACAATTTAGCTATGGAACTACTGTCTGCTTAGCTGGACGCAGACAAGTAGGGCCACTTTATGATCGGTAGAAACAATTTATACTCCACCCAGTGAAATAATTAAACAAACTCAAAACTCAGCTACCAGAGCTACTACTAGAGGTGTATACCATATAAAAATACCATATAGAAAGGGGGCACTCAGCCTTCTATGGAGCAGCACATATCTAGAACACTATAGCCACAGAACTGAGGAACATTACATCTCTCAACTCTTTCTCAAAATCTATAAAACAGTTTTTACTGGACAATTAAATATGCTGTCATGATCTGGAGAAGTGTGACAATTTGTTTGTGCTTAAGTGCTGTTGTATGTTTTCGTTTAATGTTTCTGATATGCCATCAACATGTGAAGGACTGCAGATGAGAATTAGCCTTCTTGGCTAAATCTGGCACATTTACATAGTGGACTTCAGTCCTCATGTTAATTAATGTGCATTGTCCCTTTTTAAATAAATAAACTTCAAACTTTAAAAGAGAAACAAAGATAGGGCCGACCCTGGGGCCATTACACTCCCTCCAAAGACAGAAGGGAAGTGACATTCAAAATTCTTACTTAACATAGTATCTGCTATAATTGTGCCACTGTGATCTGCCCAAGTGGCTCCCAAGTTGGCTAATTTGCCCCTAAGACAAAACTGTCACTGTGTACAGTTGGGGACGACATCAGCTTGCACGTACATGCAACCCAACAACAAGTGCATGCTTTAACGGCCGGGCCACACTTCCTGTATGAGCAGTGTCTGCTACTGAGCTGCTGCCAGCCCTTTCTTTCTACTCTGAGTTTGCCTTTGATAAATACAATACAATAAAAGCCTTGTTAGCAAACAAATGAACTTTGCGGAGCTTTAAATCTGAAGCAGATATTTATATTTTTCCATGTATGCAACATCCTCAAGATATAGACATGTAGTGACTGGGTGTATATGTTGCTGGTATAATGTCAATATGGCTATAAACATATAATTTTCACTGTTTATTTTTGCTGAGTGTGCAGCTAGCTGAAAAAACTGCCTGAAGCTGGCAATGTGGCTGCTCTAACCTGTAAGCACTGAAATAAGAAGAGGTTCTGCATTGCTCAGGTCAATCAATTGAATTATTTCCTACACACAGGTCCATATTAACATAAAAACAACAAAGTACAATACATAGACAACAACACAGAGATATAAAATCATTGCAGATGTAAGAAGTGCCTCCTTAAATTTTACATCCTGGCCTTTAGAGACGTGTGAACGCCACTGCAATCTCCATGTTCTGAATTCTGACTGCCACATTTCAGATAACATCTTCTTTGGTATAATACATTGTAATACACTTATTTAGTTCAAAAGCTACATCTGAAACCTCCATATGAATTCAGAAGTCTTTATTTATATTGGACGAGTGGTTTTTTGTAAGTAATAATGATTCCATCTTAAAACATCTTGAGCTTTGTGAGATTTATCATCATCAGCAGCAGCTTTATCCGCTTATCTGGGGTCAGGTTGCAGGGGTAGCAGGTCCAGTAGAGGACCCCAAACTTCCCTACCTTCCCTGGCCACATCGCCAACTCTGACTGAGGGGATCCCGGAGGCTTCCCAGGCCAATGTGGAGAGTATAATCCGTCTCCACCTGGTCCTCGTCGCCCATTGGCTCCTCGCCAGCTGGACTCGCAGGAACCACTCCTCAGGCTGTGTGAGAGTTTAGGACGGATTTCAGGGAGAATATTTTTAAATATACTATATACTACTAAGTATATGTATATTATTTACAACCAACTTGAAATAAATTTTGAGTCATCAAATAGCATATTTGTGCTTTTGTACAAAAAGCCCTGACAGATCAGACAGATCTAGTTTACGACCACAAGAAGGGCTTCCATATACCAGTGCTTCATTAGGCCGAGACATGATTCTATTAGTGCCTCCGTACTTTGAAGAGGCTCCATATTGTAGAACATGTAGTTAATAGATAGACAAATATGATGGTCTGCTTAGGGTATTTTTGTGTTTTCATCTGTTTATTCTACTAGCCACATGGAAAGAGTTCTCTCTTGCAGATAGTTTGCCGAGGTCCAATGGTGTTTTTTGGTATGCTCAAAGTACTCCAAGATTTGCATAAAAAACCATTCACATTAAACTGGAACTAATAAGCTTTAATATAATGAATTCATTTAAGTTAATTTTTCAAAATGTTGTGTCATGCACACAATGCCCAACCCTCCATGCTTACACAGACACCAAGAAATCACAGTTGCATTGGGGAAACATTTTATGTTAATACAGAAATTCAGATATAGATTATTCATACAGCTGGGTTGTAGACAAACTTTCTAAATTTTATATTATTGTAACTTATGGTTTTACCGATATAACAAGCAGTGCTTTTGTTTCTCGTATACACGAGAAACATTTTACTTTCCGCTAGAGCCGATTTACAAGTAACCTGTTCCTGGAAACGGATGACAAAATCAACTCATTAGCACAGGGATGACGAGTCTAAAACGTCACAGTATTTTTTTAGTGGTCTGCCGGAAAG